ATGGCTTCCACTAGAGTAGCCAGGCTGGTGGGGTTTCTCATACTCACGGTGCGGCAAAGTTTTATGAGGAGGGCTCTGAGCAGGCGGTCGATCGCCACTTGTTCAGTGACCTGGGAGGCGGTGGTGTTCCCCGATAGCAACCAGACCTGTGCCAATTTGGAGAGCTGTGTGGTTTGTTCTCAGGCAGAGATCTGTTCATCATACGACCATTGCCAGAACTGCTGTGCTGCGCTGATGCGAGAAAGCCCCAACCTCGCTAATATCTCTCCTTTCAATATCTCATAATCTTCATTTTGTGGGGTTTTTAGTGAATAATAAGCACATTGCGCTTCACCAGTCAGAAACGGAGCCAGGATTCTCACCCATTCTTTTTTATTCCACAGCTCTCTGGTTGCTATCACCTCAAACATGTGTAAATACGCTTCGATGTCATCTAGGTCACTGAGTTTCGTAAGGTGGTGGTGTGCAGTACTCCTGGCGTCCGGAAGAGGCACCCGGTGGCCCAGTAGGCTTTCGACCACCTGCTCAGTCCTTTCCAGTCTGGCGGTGATCTGGTCCAGTGTTGCCGTGCTCTAGGTGAGTTGTGGATGAGTTGATGGTGAAGAGTTCCTTTGATTTAATCCGTGCTGCTGTGAAACGCTGATCGCTCGATCCGATGACTTTCTGGATGAGAGAGAGAGAACTCATTAAAGTCAGGGTTAGCAAAGAGGCTTCTCACCGTCTGTCTTCTTCAAGCTGGCTTTATCTTGTGGGATGCTGATGAGTTCCAGGTGCAGGCGATCAGCGTGATTGCATCCAGGTGGCTTGTGTGCTCCTTTCCCAGGATGACACTGATTGTCAATTGGGCGTCCCACCACAAAATAAAGATGCGTTTTATTAATATTGATTTAGTGATTATGTTTTTAGCTCCAAAAAGCAATAAATTATTAAAGTTGATACGATTTCATTTATAGCACTGAATATTTTGCTTCAACCAAAATGATGATTCTGATGGGTTTTCAACATGGAATCAATGTCACTTTGCTGTTTGAGTCTGGATCAAATTCTCTCGAGGTCTGCATTCAGGCCAGAGTCTGGACTTTGAGTAGCCCTAACATAGAATGTAAAGAATAATCACGCCTCCAGTTGGGATAGGGTGTGTACTGTATTCACAAATATTACCAACTGAGTGACCAAATGCATTCAGGAAGGATGCTCACAATGAAAATTGTGCTTCCTATTTTATATGTGAATTAGTCTGGGAATTGAACATTTATGAGGTAATCTGAATTATTCAAATGTCTTGTGTATGCTTATGCCTCTTTAAAGAATAGTTCCCTTTCAGCAGATCCCCTAAAAGATCAACAAGATTGAACAGTACATCTTTTTAAAGACAATGTTCTGACCGTGCATTTTTTTAATGTGGTGGTTTCCTTGCCCCGGATGAAAGACATGAGTACTACATCACATGCCTGGGGGTCCAGCATGTTGAGGCAGTGCTCGTGGAGAGTTCTTGCCCTCACTGCAAGGGCTTGACTGTTGCACAACTGCCTCCCACAAGCCGGTTAGCAAATGGACAGACCTGAGGATTACAGTGGAAACTCATCCATCGCCCTTGGGCTCATAGACCCCTCGCTCCTTTACAGTTTGCTCCATCCAAACTTTGAGTGAGTGTGGCAGTGCATCCCCTAGGAAGGCTGTGATCTCAGTGTTTGACACTGCGGACCAGATGTCTAGATGTCAGTGAGGTGTCAGGGGGTACGAGGAGATTCCCTAGGTGGAGTGTGCTATTGCAATCAGTATTTGCCTGCAAGACGCCATCACCTGGAGGGCTCCACCTAAACTCCTTTCCAAAGCATGCAGGCTATCTCTCATGGCCAGAGCCTATACTGCTCCGGGCCAGGCTGCTTCTGCTTTGCACAATATGGACACCTATCAATGCTACCAAGCGCAGAAGTTGACTGAGCTGTAAGAGGGTGGTTCTTCCCTTGGCCGATTATGCTCTCATGACCACCAAACTGGCCGCTCGTGCCCTGGAACAGACGATGACCACATTAGTGGTCCAGGAACGCTACCTCTGACTGAACCTGGCTGATATGTGTGACATTGACAAAGCTTGCTTTCTTAATGTGCCATGTTCTTTGCCGAGGGTGTCCACCCGTGGCTACAAGACCTGCTCTGCCTCCGCAGCCTGCTCTCCTGTCCAAGCAGCAGCGACGAGCTCTCTGCGGGACCAAGACACCCCAGTCTTAGGGTACCGTTAAGTTCGGTAGGTCCAGGTGGTGAGGCCTCCTGGCTAAGTATGCAATCGGCCAGTTGTTTTATTCCCTGATCGAGGCCCCACATGACACGCATGCACTGGCTTACAGCTGGCCCCTGGGTATGAACAAATATGCGTTTCACTCAGTGAGGCTTTTTACACAGACTCTGTGCAAGGTCAGGGAGCATGAGGAGCAGGTCTTGTTAGTTGTGCCTCTCTGGCCCACAGACCTGGGTTTCCAAACTCACACTCCCCGTGACAGATCCTCCCTGGCGTATTCCTCTGAGAGAGGACCACCCTCTGGTACCCGCGCCCAGATCTCTGAAACCTCCACATGTGGTCCATAGACAAAGCGTGGAAGATGTAGGTGACCTTCCCGCGTTGGTGGTTAACACCATCACTCAGGCTATAGCACCCTCTATGAGGCTATTCATTGAGTGGTGCTCTTCTTGCCAAAAAGATCACTGAAGTTGCCAGATTAGCGTTGTGTTCTCCTTCCTTCAGGATAAGCTGGAGCGTAGGCTGTTACCCTCCACACTGAAGCTTTACACTTTACACACTCTCGTCTTCGCCAAGAGCCAAAGAAAAATGGGCGGGACTGTGACTTGCGCCTTGAAATGGCTGCTGGACCAGTTGGCTGCCCGCACTCAACGGATTGTTTTCCCTTACCCCTGTTCCCATCCCCTGTGTCTATGTTGTGTCTTGCCGGTGTGCTTATGCAAAGATAGGGCTGTTTTTCTCCCTTTTCACACTTTGTCCTAATCAAGGGCAAGGTGAAGGGGCGTTTTTTTTTTTTTGCCTAACTGTCCAAATGTATCTTTCTTCGTTTCTAAATGCTACCTCCTATGATCTGTCTACTCTGAAAAGTGTGATGTTTTGTGTATGGTCTGGGGGGTCCAATTTCACTATACGAAAGTGTAGTGACAATAAAGGCTTGATTGATTTATGTTGCAGCCATCTGCGCTCACCATGATGCAGTGGATAGCAGTATAATCTAATCATCCTTTTGAAAATAAATATTTTTAGGCATATATTTAGTGAATATAGACAATAATTATTGATGGATTTAAACAAAAAAGTTTTATTAAACAGTTTTATCCATTAAAAGAAGAATTTGGTCATTGAACATCTTTAGGAAAAGCAAGAAAATACAATAAAATTTCCACAAGTTATTACAAAATTAATAATAATAATAATAATAATAATAATAATAAATAAATACAAAGTACAAAACTGTATATATTTTTGTGTTTTACTAGATTTTTACAGTTTACTACAATTTTATTTCATATTTATTCATAACATATGGGTGTATAATTTTTTTTTAACTGTGATCAGGTTTTTTTGTTTGTTTGTTTGTTTGTTTGTTTTGTAATCTATAGATTAGTTCCCGTTTTGGCTAATCTGATATGAATGTATACATATATTATAGTAAATCATCCTAGAAAATATTCATTTAAAAGAGAGATCTGTGAGAGGTGTACTCATTTATGCTGAACATTGTAAATATATAAACCACTAAGACCTGTGAGTCACAATCTACAGTAAATTGTTAATACATTTTTATTAAGTTTAAAGAAATTCATTGATTCATTTTATTAAATGTAGAATAAATGGAATTATCAATGATTAAAATAGTGCCATCATGTTTACTAAACTGTATTGATTTTGAGGTACTTTTTTAGGTGATTAAATTATTTAAAAATGGAGTTAACTTGTCAACAAAGGTTTGATGGAGGAACCACGCCTCATATAGTCTCCTGTACAACTACTCCCTAAAACTTATTTAAGGCATACTAGCACTCTAGCACCGTTCTTCTGATTCTTTTGAACCCACCCTCCCTCTATGTCCTTGCTTCCCATTCACAATCCTATAACCCTCTATTCACTCCTAGGTTGAATCGAGGGGTCCAATCACTCAACCAAAATGTTAGAGACGGTACCCCCATTCTGAGTCTCTGGGCATCATCGTAGGACGTCTACTTACCTGTTCACGGTTGATCCTCTTACCTCCCTTCCCCTTCATCTCACTGTTCCCTTACCATCTCCTTCATCCATACATTCGTAACACTAAAGTATGTATGGAAAAACATTGTAAATGTTGCAAATAAGTCTCCCGCTCCTCTCGCTTTCCTCCACCAGAGGGAGCCATCACTCAAATTTAATTGGGCATCATAGGAAACTACATAACATACTGTACCTACTGACCCTCAAATGACCACACACAAGCACACACTCAAAACCATTGCGAAGTCTTGTTCTGCCAGGGTAAACACTTCTGAGCATTCTGACCTAGTGTGTGTCTGTCGGATTCAGCTTGTTTTTTTGCCTGCCTTGACCTATTGCCTGTTTGAGACCTTATCTCTGCTGCCTGCCCCAACCATATCCTCTGTAATGTTTATGATTCTAGCCACTTGTCTATGACCTATCACTGTCTCTGATTTTGTGTTCAATAAAACCGCACAAGTTTCTGCTTGTCTTCTGTGCCTACATTTTGGTCCTTGGTCTTTCAGTTCCTTTTGATTTATGGACATTCAACCATGGTAAAATAACTGAAAAATATGTGCATGCACAATCTAAGTGCATTTAAAAATAGCATTACAATTCAACTGCTGTCAATGCACAAATACAATAACAAGAAAGAAACTGCAGGTAAATATTTACATGCCCTTTGCATCTTGTTACTATAGGGATGAAGAGCAATGAAAGTGAAAGCAAATGGTGTATCTCGGCCAGCTATTGTTTTCCGTACAGCGGAAAGTTTCATTTAGATTTCTGATCTTATGCTGTGCAGTGTGCTTCCGCTGTGTGGATTGCTCAGAAGAACGTGGTAAGAAAGATGCAGTACTTGATACCATTACAGTGTATTTTATTGTTATTTAGAGCTTTTACATATTCATAGGGTTTTTAAAAATGATCTTGTTAAACAAAAGACAGAAGTTCTGGTCTTTTAAATACTTCCTCAAACCTTAGTTTTAATATAAAGCAAAAGAGTATTGATTCCTTTATCATTTATTACAGGCAATGTCTGCTCATTTGCACAGCTTAACTGATTGTCCTTAATTGTTTTAATTTCAGTGAAAACATCTCGTCTTCTATGCTTGTATGTTAAGTCTTGTATGCTTTACGGTTTAGTGTTTACACTGTATCAATATTGTTTACTTTTTAAACTGTTGATTTTCACATACTTTTTAAAGTACTGTTTAGAATACTGTTTACATTTTTTAGATGGATATATTAGAAGACTACGACATAATAACTCAGAATGACTTGGAGGAAATTAAGGAATCCATATCTACTGAGGATCTCCCAACCGCAGTTAGCAGGATCAGAGAATATCTCAGAAAACAAGATCTTGTGGAGCTAAATGTTGGTGTGACGGGAGAGTCTGGTTCTGGAAAGTCCACGTTTGTTAATGCATTCAGGGGTTTAGGAGATGAAGACGAGGGCTCTGCTGAAACTGGGGTTGTAGAAACCACCATGGAGCCTAAAGCTTATAATCACCCAAAATACAACAATGTGAAAGTGTGGGATCTTCCTGGCATTGGAACACCAAACTTCAAAGCCGATGAGTACCTTCAGCAGGTTGAGTTTGAACGCTATGATTTTTTCATCATCATTGCTTCAGATCGGTTCAAGGAATGCCACACTCATCTGGCCAAAGAGATCATGAGGATGGGGAAGAAGTTTTACTTTGTTCGTTCCAAGATTGACGCAAGCATTACTGCTGAGAAGAGGAAGAAGAACTTTGACCTAAAAAAGACACTTGATGTCATTCGAGAGGACTGTGTAAATGGTTAGTTATTTCACATGGCATTCATTTGAGGACCAAATTTGCTTTAGAATTGCTACATTAAATAAAATGCTAATTAAAGTATAATAATGCTGTTATATTATTACTGATAAATCATACATAATTGTTTATTGTTAGAGGTATTATTCATTTTCAATTGACATTTTGTCTTGTTTTATAATGCCCTATCTTGTGTCTGTCTAGGTCTGAGAAAGATTGGGATTGAAGATCCTGTTGTGTTTTTAATCTCTAATTTTGAGCTCGGCAAGTATGATTTAAATCTGCTTGAGGAGAAGATGGAGGAAGAGCTTCCACAGCATAAGAGACGTGTGCTGTTATTGGCTTTGCCAAATATCACACAAGAGATTAATGAGAAGAAGAAGGAAGCTCTAGGGCAAAATATTGGAAAAGTAGCCATACTGTCTGCTTGTGTGGCTGCTGTTCCCATTCCTGGTCTTTCAGTTGCTGTAGATTTAGTAATTGTTAAAAGGGAGATAGAAATTTACTACAGTACCTTTGGTCTAGATGATCCATCCCTGCAGATGCTGTGTGAAAGATCTGGGAAAACCATTGAGGAATTCAAAAGTCTTATGAAGTCGCCGCTGAGAGGTGGGATAAACCCAGCTTCATTGTTATCCTTGGTCGGTGCGGTATCTGTAGTTGGAGCTGAAAGTACAGTTGAGTATATTTTGAGCCTCGTACCCATTCTTGGCACTGTGGTGGCAGGAGGATTGTCTTATCTGACTGTCTCAACAATGCTTAGAAGAGCTCTGAATGATATAGCAGAAGATGCCAGAAATGTGCTAAATGCTTCACTGGAGACTGAAGTCTAGACACAATGTTTAATTTTCATCAAAGTTGCTATATGTACAGTTAAAACATCATGCATCAAAATTAATTTATGCTTAACAGCAGAAAAATGAGAGATATTTTTTGAGAAATTGTTATAACCTTTCTTGAAAGACAAGTTTAGATACAATAAGATTACTATGCCTCTGAAAAAGCTAAGATGATGGTGTCAAGGTTTTGGAAGTTTCTTATTAGCTAATTGACAACATTTGAGTTATTTGGAGGCACAACTGTAGAATAGTATTTAAGAAAAACCTTAAACACAATGCTTCCTTGTGTGACAACATGGAAAAATCAACAAGACAGAATCAACAAAAAAGCCAGATTACAAATAGCTAAATTACACCCGACTAAAGAATCATTTTTGGAGACATGTCCTGTGGTCTGATGGAACTAAGATCGAACTTTTTGGCCATAATGACCAGTGTTAGATTTGCAGGACAAAGGAGAAAGCTTACAAGCCTAGGAACACTGTGAAGTATGGGGGTGGCAGCATCATTTTGTAGGGCTGTTTTTGCTGCAAGGGGGACTGGTCCACTTCACAGCATAGATGAAATCATAAAGAAAAAACATTAAGTAGAAATACTGAAGCAACATCTCAAGACATCAGCCAGGAAATTAAAAGTTTTTCACAAATGGGTCTTTCAAACGGACCATAACCCTAAGCATACTGCCAAATTAGTTAAAGTGTGCTTTAAGGACAACAGAGAGAATGTTTTGGAGTGGCCATCACAAAGCCCTGAATTCAATTCTATAGAAAATTTGTTGGCAGAGCTTGTGCGAGCAAGACTAAAAGCTAAAGAAAGCTAAAAATACCAAGGAAATGTATGTAAACTTTTGACTGTCTTGAAATTAATAAAAAGCTTTCTTTAAAAAAATTATCTCATTATTCTGGCAATTAGCAAATATAAATCATTTTGGTTATCCTAACGGACCTAAAATAGTAAACGTTTAGTATGATTTACCATCAGACAATTTTTTAAGAAATGGTTGTTCCTTTTATTAGAGTGTATGTAAACTTCTGGTTTCAACTGTATGTTTTTGACACTTCTAAAGCAAAAAAAATAAAAATAAATAAAATAAAATAGCATAATATGTTTGCAGATATTTAAAAAACATGCAAAATGAACATCCTTATTTATCTGAAAAACAATGCTGAAGTCAGTTATTCTGCTTTGAAAATGTGTAGTACGTGCTGTAACATCTGTCTTTGTTTTGGTTCTTTTAACCCGCTCACTGCCAGTTTAGCCAATTATATTTCAGCACCCCGGGTTGCCTTGATGGGAAACAGTGTATTTCATTCATTTATTCAGAAAGGCTCTCCAAGCATGCAATTGTGACCAAAAGGCAACCTCCAGTGAACAGTAGCAGCCTCATAAATGAGACGCAGATTCAGATTTTCCCATGAGGGTATTAATAAGCAAATAATATAAATATACAAGCGTAAACATTGGATGAGCAGGTTACATTATATCCCCGTGTCCTAATAACATGCTACATGATGAGATTTGCAGTGATAAGCAATGTGGCTCTTTGCTCCAGACAAAACAAGACAGAAATTTGAATAGAGCCATTCAGAAGCACAGAATATGCACTTACTCACGAAATGGTAAGGGTTAAATTCTATTTCATATATATTAAAGCTCTTTAACATTATTAAATGTACATGCTGAATCACTGATTTGTTGGTTTTGAGTCTAAAGTTCAATTTCAAATGGTTAATTTTATTTTCAAGATCTGAGGTGAACTATTTGCTGCTGCTTTCAGTAGTATGAAAATAATTGTCAAGTATGGCATTCAAACTCACATTGTTAGCATTTAGCACTGAATAAATCACATGAGGTGTAGGCCTACCTGAGGGGATCATTGCAGGTTTTCTGTGGTTCAGCTGTAAGAAATAGAAGTTGTTTCTAACGTATCAAGTCAAGCTGTTGGTTTAACAAAGACTCAATTTACTATGGAAAATATTCCTTCCGTCGCGTGCTGTTGCTTTTATATAGAACATGATTTAAATCAATGTTTAGGCTCGATCGTAAGACTCGCTCTTTTTGGTCCTCAATCTGGTTGCAGCTTCCAGTTTTGCTTTGAGTCCAAGATAAATATCAGAACATGATGTTGAATTAAATGTGCATATGTCATCTGATGTCATATATGATGACATACAAATCTGCATTACCTGCTCTACCTGCAATGTTGTTTATATGCTAAATGTCCTTGTCAAAAGTTGCAAATTAGTGAATATAGATCCAGTGTACAACAACAACAAGATATATCCTCAGCAGAAGCAAGATCTTTTAATGAATTAGGACATGTCATTAAACAACTAGAATGCAGGAATCAAGGAGGTAGGTCACATAGAGCAAAATAAAGAATTATTGCAAAGAGAAGCGTTCTGGATTTATAAGGTTAAATCTTTTACCCCAAATGGGATGAATGAAGAATTGGGTCTCTCTGTGTTTCTTTAATGTATTGTTGGTTACCTATAATATTGTGAAGAAATGATTTTGAGTTTATAATGAAGTAAATAATGATTATGTATGGGAAATTGGGAATGTCTTTCAAATGTTTTTAATGGGTTTTTCACTGTTGTGTTATTTGGTGAATATATGAAAGCGTAAGTGATGATCATTCATGATTTTATAGTGATATTTTAAACAAATGGCTTATTTGATGAGATCATGTTTTTTGTAGGTGGATGTGATATTAATTATGACGTTATTTGTCATGTACACCTAATTGGATTGTTTTTAATGATTGAGAATTTAATTAACGACGTAATGTAAATGACAATTGACATAATTTTTCTCTGAAGAATGTGAAATAAATAAAATGTAATGCTATTTCTCCAAGAATGTGGATCATGAACTTTTTAAATATATGCTTATAAGATAAACGCACCAAATTCAACCAACGCAGGAGCGCAGAGCATACTTTATTATTAAACTTGTAGCTATTTAAATACATAGCAGACTTTTCCAACATTATTTACAAATCTCTTTTCAGTTTAACTGAAAATGAAAAACTCAAAAGTATTTAACAAAATGAGGGTTAGTAAATGGTACAGGATTAGCATTTTATGATGAATCGATCCTTTTACAACGAAACAGTACCAATTCAGTTTTACTGAATAAGAGATTTTGACTTACATTTACATTTACATTTAGTCATTTAGCAGATGCTTTTATCCAAAGCGACTTACAAATGAGGACAAGGAAGCAATTTACACAACCAAGAGCAACAATGAATAAGTGCTATAAGCAAGTTTCAGGTCTGTAAAGTCTAAGAAGGGAAGTATTAGTAGTATTAGTATTTTTTTATTTTTTATTTATTTTTTTTTGTACAGTTAGTGTGATATTCAGAGAGGCAATTGCAGATTAGGAAGTGAAGTGGAGACTAAATAGTTGAGTTTTTAGTCGTTTCTTGAAAGTAGCGAGTGACTGTTCTGATGCAGTTAGGGAGTTCATTCCACCAACTGGGCAGATTGAGCGTGAGCGTTCGCGAAAGTGATTTCTTCCCCCTTTGGGATGGAACCACGAGGCGACGTTCATTCACAGAACGCAAGTTTCTGGAGGGCACATAGATCTGCAGAAGCGAGAGCAGATAAGAAGGAGCAAGGCCAGAAGTCACTTTGTAGGCAAACATCAGAGCTTTGAATTTGATGCGAGCAGCAACTGGCAGCCAGTGCAAACGGACTAGCAGTGGAGTGACATGTGCTCGTTTAGGTTCATTGAAGACCACTCGTGCTGCTGCATTCTGGAGCAGTTGAAGAGGCTTGATAGAGTTAGCTGGAAGCCCAGCTAGTAGAGAGTTACAGTAATCCAGTTTGGAGAGAACAAGAGCTTGAACAAGGAGTTGAGCTGCATGTTCAGATAAGAAGGGTCAGATCTTTCTGATGTTATAGAGTGTGAATCTGCACGATCGAGCAGTTCTAGAGATGTGGTCAGAGAATTCATCAGGATGAAAAGAGAGGTATAGCTGGGTATCATCAGCATAGCAGTGGTAGGAGAATCCATGTCTCTGGATGACTGGTCCTAGAGATGATGTGTAGATGGAGAAGAGAAGTGGCCCAAGAACAGAGCCTTGAGGTACCCCAGTGTTTAGATGCTGTAGGTTGGACACCTCACCCCTCCAAGACACCCTGAATGATCTGTCAGTGACTTAGCTATGGCACCATCTAAACCAGGGGTGGCCTACCCTGTTCCTAGAGAGCCACCTTCCTGCAGATTTCAGTTGCTACCCATATCAAACACACCTGAACATATTTGATATGGGTTGCAACTGAAATCTGCAGGAAGGTGGCTCTCCAGGACCAGGGTTGGCCACCCCTGATCTAAACAGACCAAAAGTGACATGTATAGCTGTAGTGTGTACTTTATCTGTAATTAGAATGGTAGAAATTCTTTTCGTTTGAGCATCAGGTTGTTCGTGCTTTAATGGATGTTAGCTCTGTACTCTGGGTTAAACTTAAAAGGCACGTGGAGGAGAGCACTGGGATTGTTAATTGTCTTTTGTAATGCAGCTTTCTGAACACACCATTAGGATAAACAGCTTGCCACCTTACATCCACAACACAACATTAGGTTGTTGATGTATCTAGCATTACATTCTCAACTATACATTCTCAACTATGAGTTAGCAGTGTGGAGTCTTTTGAAAAGCAGTTGAAGCAGCTGCTGGACACTGCAAACACACACACACACACACACACACACACACACACACACACATATATATATATATATATATATATATATATATATAACAATTACAATAAGTAATTATTTCATAATAAACAATATTGTATTCATTCTTTCATTCATACATTTTCTTTTTGGCATAGTCCCTTTATTAACCAGTGGTCACCACAGCAGAATAAACCGACAACTTATTCAGCATTCATTCAGCAGATGCCCTTCAAGCATCAACCCAACACTGGGAAACACCCATACACTCTTGCATTCACACACTACGGCCAATTTAGCTTATTCAAGTCACATACACCACGTCTTGGGACTTGTGCATAGGGGAAACCGAAGCACCTGGAGGAAACCCACACCAACATGGGGAGAACATGTAAACTCCACACAGAAATGTCAAGTGACCCAGCTGGGACTCAAATCAGCGACTTTCTTGCTGTGAGGCTACCGTGCTACCCACTGCGCCACCGTGACGCCTAAAATGCCTCTGGCCACTGTACAGGATGAGGCTCGAATCAGCGACAGTGCCAACCAATGAATGAGCCGTG